GAAGACATCGTGAATATCACCTGCACTATCGCGAGGTGAATGCACGGTGCGTACCACGCACTTTGACGGACGTGAACAAAATGGTGTGCATGCAAGCTGTCAGTCTCCTACAGCAGTTTGATGATGAAAGTCATGCACTTTTGAAGTCTATAGTGACCACCGATGAAACGTGGGTGCACTACTTCATTCCCGAGTCCCAGCAATCATCATGCGAGTGGTAGCATACCAGTTCTCCCAAACCCAAGAGAGCGCGGAGGAGCCGTTCAGCAGGAAAAGTGATGGCAACGTTCTTCTGGGACTGGCAGGGGGTTATCCATGTAGACTTTCTGACAGATGCCAGAACAGTCATTGCACCTTATTACTCAGACCTCCTGGCAACAGACGTGAAGGAAAAGATCCGATCCAAGTGGAAGACAGGTGGAAAGCGGGTAGCCTTCCTTCATGACAATGCATGGCCCCGTACGGTCAAAACAACAATGAAAACCCTCTGGAAATTGAAATGGAACCTTCTGACACATCTGCCGTAGAGTCCCGATTTGGCACCAAGTGATTTCTACCTGTTCGGAAGGCTCAAATCAGACTTGCAAGGCATGCGGTTTGTGGACGACACCACCGTCATCCAGACTGTTTGGGAGTGGATACACCGCCAACCACAAGCATTTTTTGAAAAGGGCATCAGGATGCTTCCAGAACATTAGAAAAATGTGTTGACTCTGGAGGGGAGTACGTTGAAGACTGACATGTGCAAGTAAGTGTTTGGCAATTATGGTTTTAAAAAAATCAGTCCCGGTCATATTTGAACCACCTTGTACATAATTTAGGGATTGGAGAAGCAGTGTACCAAGTACAGGCTGAACAGGTGCAAGTAATAGGCTGCTACAGTAAGACACTAAATAAGGTGGAGAGACATTACTATGTCACTCGGTGGGAACTACTGGCCATCATGATGACACTGGAGCATTTTCATAAATACCTCTATCGACAAGATTTCCACCTGCACACCAACCACTCTGCATTAAACTGGTCATGAGTTTTAAGAAACTTAAGGGTCAAATCGACCACTGGATTCAACGCCTATAAGAATACAACTTCACTTCCGATCACTGTCAAGGCTGAAAATACAACAATGCCAATGCCTTTCCCAGTGACCATGCTGAGAAAAGTGCACTCACTGTCACAAAGTCAAGGCATGGGCAGACGTTAAGCATGTATGAAATATTGCAGCTGGCTGGAATTCAGCCACTCAGAGAACAGAACTGAACAACTAGGATATAGGGCCCATTCTGGAGGAAGTCAAGACCGGACAGTACTAGGAACAGAAAGACATCACCTACTGCAGCCCCACGTACAAAAGCTATTGACCCCAACAGAAATCCCTCGTTGTGAGGAATGGCATACTAGAGTGCCACTGGGATCATATGGATGGACAATCAAAAATAACCCAGGTAATTCCAACTCGGAGCAGAGTGAATGACATACTGACTGAACTATATGGGTCTCAAAAAGACCCTGGATAAGGTCTGGCAAAGGAACTACTGGCTCAATGCAAGAAACAATGTTGAGAAGTAGTGCCAGCTGTGCAACACCTGAGCAGTCATTTGCAGCCCCAAACAAGGAATTGGGGCCAAATGCATCAGTACAACATTGGGGCCCAATTTCAAAGGATAGCCACTGATGTGGCAAGGCCCTTCCAATGAAGCAACCAAGAGAACCAACGCCTCCTGATTGTTACAGACTATTTTACTAAGTGACCATATGCAAAGTTATAAATTACTTATAAAATATAAATTACAAAGTTATAAATAAAAGTTATAAATTATAATAATTACAATGAATTACTCATATTTTGATGTATTTGTTCTGTGCAGCAACTGTTGAGCCACAGAGGCCTCGGGGCATGTGCGCAATGTGAGAGTTGTGGATTGTATCGCCGCGTTGCTAGGCGACAACTCTGTGAACGCTTGGATTGTGCAACAGGAAGTGCGAATGACGTCACATACCCCCACTCCTTCCATCACTATGCAATGCTCAGTAAACACCCCTCCCCGCTACGCTGTGATGTCATGCAACAGAGGAATCTGTGCAGCGACTACTGCTAGTCAATCGATAAACATGGCGATTACCCAACAGGGAAGCGAGGTGCATCTTCCGCTGTCCAGCTGAGNGTTGCTAGGCGACAACTCTGTGAACGCTTGGATTGTGCAACAGGAATGCGAGTGACGTCACATACCCCCACTCCTTCCGTCCGTGCAACGACTACTGCTAGTCAATCGGTAAACATGGCGATTACCCCACAGGGAAGCGAGGTGCATCTTCCGCTGTCCAGCTGAAGGTTTATAAGAGAAACTGGAATGTCTAAGGAGTGCAGCGGAAGTCTAGCATTTGTCATAGTTGAGCATTAGCAGTCCATTTCCAGCCTTCGAAAAAATGAGGTGAAGTCCAGCAGCCACAAGTTGTTGTTGAGTTGTATCGAGTGAATGGATTCAAGACAGGTGAACCCAGGAAGTGACTACTGCAGATGACAGTAATTGAGACACTGTAAATTGTGTAAGTGTAAGAGCAAGTGTGGGTATGTGACGTCAAACGTGGAAATGCAGAGTTCACGTGACCCCTACTTCCTGTTGTGCCATCCACGTTACAATATTTATTTAACCAAAACAATTTGGAAGGAAAAATACGGTATTTCACTTTTTACAAAAACATGCCTTAATAATGGGTAAATAAATTACAAAAGTAAATAAGGTACGTTAGAATAAATTGGATACAGCTGATCATGTCTAATGAGAGCCTTTGGTACTAGGCCTAGTGATTAACTTTCAGGTTCTATCATAAAAGGTAAAAGGTAAATTCTCCCGTCCTTAACTACCTAAGCACTATGCNACTACGCCATGAAGACGTATGGGGGAGTGGGTGTATAGATCCATATTCTCTTGACCTCGCCACTAGTTGAAGGTGAGTGGTTACCTTCACGCCACGGTCGCTTTACCCGCGGGGAAATAACCCTTGCTACTCATTGGTTTAGAGGCTCGGTGGGCCCCAGAACTAGTCTGGATGATGTGGAGAGGAGAAAATCTTGACCCTGCCGGGACTCTTTAACTCTGTCCAGCCCATAGCCAGTTGCTATACCAACTGCACTACCTCAGCTCCTTCATGTTGAAAACTCCATGATTTTAGAACCTGTGTCCCAAATGTTTCATTTCCAATATTAAGAAAAGACATTTTACTGGAAGAATAATCTGTGCTAGACTACTTAAAACACCCATTACATTAATTTTTTTAATTGTTTCATTCTTGTCTGTCACACTAACAATATCATGAAAAGATGAACGGTTCCATCCAGTGTGACTGGTGAAGATTTGTCTTATTTCAGTTGTTTATGTCCTTACATGTTTCGGTCTTAGATTTTATATCCAAATGTATACTACTTTATTTTATATGTATATACTAGCTGTGTCCGGCCACACCTTGCTGTGGCTCAGTCTGCCCGTTCTTCCCCAGTTTGATTTGAAATTACTCAACGCATTGCTTCCGCTCTGTGAGTACAACGACCTGAGTTTGTTCTTAGAAAATGAAAAGAAAAACAACGAAAAATAAACTATACTTATGAAATAACTTCCATGCACGTCTCGGATTCAGCGAATAAGTTATTGAACGCTCACTTTTACACCAGCAAGCACAATTATTATCACGTCCAGTATCACCGAAAATTTCTTCGGAGCTGGACTATTATAACCCGGTTTCGGACGCAATAGAGGGCACTTTCGCCGAGGGTTCCATTTCAAGTGTTCTGTGCTCGTTGCCGCAGAAATGCATTATTTCCGCTGTTTCAACATTTTGTTGCCACGGTTATTCCAAGACAACAATGTGCTGTTTCAACGGTTCATTGCGACGGTTACTCCAAGGCAATGAACCGCTGTTTCAACAGTTCGTTGCCATAGTTATTCCAAGGCAAGGACCCGCTGTTTCAACAGTTCGTTGTCACGGTTATTCCTAGGCAACGACCTGCTGTTTCAACAGTTCGTTGCCACGGTTATTCCTAGGCAACGATCTGTTGGTATTCAACATATAACACGTTACAGTATATTAATACTGAATACAATTAATACTTTTACCTGTTTTTACCTGTCACGGGTGTGACATCTACATAATAGGCATATAAAAACATGCGCGTGTTCAAATGCAACGTTGTGTCAAAATTTCGAGGCAATTGGTGAAGAACTTTTGGAGATCTTTGGGGAGAGCCAAACCAACAGTTACATTTTTATTTATATAATTTTAACTTTCAGAACATATATTGCAATAGTAGCTTCCTACTGTATTGAAGTAAAGGTGTCCCCCTGATGATGGCCTCTGAAGACTGAAACATGTAAGGACATAAATAACTGAAATAAGAAAAATCTTCACCAGTCACACTGGATGGAACCGTTTAACTTTTCATGACACCTATTACATTACTTTATTTAAAACACCCACTGTATTACCTTCAGGTTTGCAAACCAAAATTCTGTATTTGCTTCTTTCTCTCATGCATGGTACATGCCTCACACATTTCATCACAACAATAAGCGGGGAAGAGTGCATGGTGTGAACCTGCACATTATCCAGTTTTCTTCTTTCTCCTACCTCCTGTTTAGTTCAAACTACCCTCAGCAATTTATTCACAGGTGTAAAGCACAAAGAATAACAATGACCAACTCAATATCCAAGAACTAGCGGACTTATGACCACGCCATAGCTCAAGTGGTTAGTAGCTGGCTTCCCACCATGGCAGCCTGGGTTCAAACCCAGGTCTGGTCAAGTGGGATTTGTAGTGGACAAAGTGGTGCTGGGGTAGGTTTTCTCTTAGTATTTCGGTTTCCCCTGCTAATCTTCATTCCACCACATTCTCCATCATCATAATTACCCAGGGCTGGTACAATAGGCCAATCAGTGGCCACCGTGCCAAGTGGACCCAACTGGACTCCACCCCCCACTATGCGAATGACAGACTCATCACTCACCTCCAGTCTTGGCTGTTCCCTCAGTCTTCAGCTGTGCAAGCAGTGATGTTCTCTCTGCCTGCAAAGTCCTGCACAGTTTCTGCAGCTGTGCCAGCTGGCGAGAGGCTAATGCAAGTTCACCATCTCTCTGCTGCTTGTCAGCAGCCATCTCCAGCAGAGCCTGATGGCTCTTCTCCCAACGCTGTTTCCATGATGAGGTTTCCTTTTCCAATTTACAAACTTTTTTTGACATCTGAAACAAAACAACCACAGTACTGTGAAACAAGAACTCTTTGTGAAAAACTGGGATATGTTTTCATTGTACTAAATAAGCAGATAACTCCATTGAACACAGCCCTCTTGAGAAGTTTATTGTCCCTCAGCTAGCCTGGAAATCTGTTGTATTTTATGAAAACCAAAGGTTAATTACAATGTTAACACAAGACAGCCACTATACTAGACACTACTTTGAGCCATGAATGGCTGCATTATAGCTCAAGCAGTTAGTCACTGGCTTCCCGCCACAGCGGCCCAAGTTCGATCATGGGTCTGGTCAAGTGGGATTTGTGGTGGACAAAGTGGCACTGGGGCGGGTTTTCTCGGAGTACTTTGGTTTCCCCTGCCAACCTTCATTCCACCAAATTATCCATCATCATAATCAACTGGGGCAGGCTACAATAGGCCAATTAGTGGCCGCTGTGCTGAATGGACCCAATTGGACTCCACCCCCCCACTAAGCAAATTTTTTGAACCATGAATCCACTCCACATTATAACATATATTACTTCCTTAAGATCCATTCAAATATTATTCTTCCAACCATGTCTCCATCTCAACTGGTGATTTATCACCAAACCCTTTGAGGCTCATGACCAGAGGTTTCTCTTTTTACAACTGAACCCTTCCGGTCATGTCCTTATGTAATATCTCTGATGAGAGGATAGGTTTGTCTCTCATGAATAGGCTTTCAGGTTTCCCAAACAAAATTCTCTATTAATATTGTGAAATTACTACTTAAACATTGTCTATTGCATGGGAACAGCTCAATACACAAGGATGCTGTTGCTAAGCAACGGCTCACCTACACATCAGTGACACTATGCTTGCACATCACCCAATGATAAAATTATAATTTCTTACATGTGTACCAGTCTTTACACTTTAGACAGGAGACAGCAGGGTCAAAGATCCTGAAATAAATGGCAGCAAGCACAGCCAGAACTGAATTTGGTCTCATTTCTTTCTTTGTAAATATGACTTGATTTGTTAATGCGGTTCCCAAATACAGTCAACTCTCGATTATCCGGAGGTGGATTAACCAGTTTGCGGCTTAACCGGGGCAACTGAAGTTTTTTTGAGGCTTATATTTTGTTTAATATTCATTCACTTTTGTTTCACATGGTGAGTTGTAACACTATTTTCGCACTAGTGTGAACCGAGCTCTGCATTCTTTGGTCCCGTTATGCTAACAAAATGTTCTAGGGTAGGGGTGAAAGAATGCAAGGATTTGTGGAAAGTTTCAAGGACAGACACACCACCCCAGTTAGTCTCTTTCTATCGATCCTCAAGTGCATTAGCAAAATGTCAGGGTGTAAAAGGAAGCGTGTTGTGTTAATCATTCAACAGAAACTCGTGTGAGCTGGGCTTCGAAATGTTAAGCAGTGATGCAACCGTTAGTTCAGTGGGGGTGCAGCCAGAAGAGCAGGAAGAAAGTGAGAATGAGGAAGAGGTGGACAGTAGTGCTAGTAAGAAAATATCACATGGTGCTGTTCTTAATCATTTGGAATCCTTACTAGACTATCTTGAGAGTGAACAGTTTATTAAGTGACAAGCTAATATTACGTAGGCTTCGTATGGATATCAGTGAAAAGGAAAATGCCGCGAAAAAGCANTTGGCACCGTGTATATGTGGTGTTAACCGATGTTTCGGAGGAACGTATCGCCCCCATCTTCAGGGTAGAAGAAAAAGTATAAGAAATCTGCAAGCGACAACACCGTGAGAAACGGTAAAGCAGACGTCTGCTTTACCGTTTCTCACGGTGTTGTCGCTTGCAGATTTCTTATACTTTTTCTTCTACCCTGAAGATGGGGGCGATACGTTCCTCCGAAACATCGGTTAACACCACATATACACGGTGCCAAATCCCAGAAGACTGCTTTCTTCGAGGTTGAGTAAATTTAAATACAGGTAGGCTTATAGTAGTATGAAGGTACAGTATTACAGTGCTACTTTTAATAACATTTGCCTTAACCGGGTTTTCGATTAATCGTGATTTCCATGCCCACCATTATCCCAAATAATTGAGAGTTGAGTGTATTACAATTTCATAACACGTGCAGACAATTTATTAACTATCATTTAGTAACCTCTTTACTAGCATCTAATAGCACTTTCTGTGCTTCATCTTTATGGTATTTACAGATTTGCCCAAAAACAATCAGCAGAGACCAGAAGCTGCTTATCTCCTACAGTCCCAGTCCTGCCTTCCTAGTGACATATTCTAAAGCAAATTTAAAATGGAATGCTGACAAAGCATCTCCTTGTTATGTCCATTCCCAGTAGAACATAAATTAGAAAAATGTTATTTATATAGACCATAATATAAGGTTTTGTAAAGCACATTACAATTAGCTAAACTAAGAGTTTCATGGATACAGTAAATTCACTGAGAATGTTGTACAATAATTCTTGTTGGAATCGTAGGCTTTCTTGAAGTCTATAAAGAGCTGATGTACTATCCCACTATTCTCTCACATCTTCTCTAGTATGAGGCATATCCGCAAAATAAGTTCTGTCTTCAGATATTGCTGCTGCAGTGCTGTGGTGCACATGTGTGCAGAGTTCATTGATCCTTTTGGAAGGCATAGACGCCATTTGCAGGCAATCAAACCGCATTTACACATCGTCCTGTGGATTTTCAATGTTCAAGAAAATCAAGAAGCCTGCCACACGTGAAATGCTGTCTGTAATCCGTTTCTTGAATGCAAGAAACATGAAACTGACAGACATTCATTGTCAACTTTGTGAGGTGTATGGAGAACATGCCACGAGTAATTCAATGGTAAGGAGATGGGTGAGACACTTTAATGAAGGACATGAAAAAATGCATGATGATTCGCACAGTGACCGACCATCTGCAGTTAATTAAGATTTGGTGTGTGCAGTGAAGAAAACATTCAAGAGAACAGATGATTCACCAATTCATAATTTATCTGAATTTTCCACAAATTTCATGGTCACTTCTTCACGAAATTGTGTCTGATAAACTTTGTTTTCAAAAACTGTGTTCACGCTGGGTGCCGATGATGCTTACAGATAAACACAAAATGCGATGGCAGGCCAGTATGTTGACCTTTCTAACACGATACAGTGAGCAAGGCGACGATTTCTTAAGCCGCACAGTCACAGGGGATGAGACATGGGTAACCCCTGAATCGAAGCAGCAGTCCATGGAATGGAAGCACACATCATGGCCAATAAAGAAAAAATTCAAACATACCATTTCAACTTGCAAGATCATGTGCACAGTGTTGGGACAGAAAAAGCATTCTGCTTGTGGAATTCTTGCCTCAAGGCTCAACAATCAATGCAGGTGTCTATTGTGACACACTTAAGTGGGTGCATCATGTGATCCAGAACAAGCAACATGGCATGCTTAGCCGGGTTTTTGTGATGCTTCATGACAATGCCTGCCCACACACTGCCGCTGCAACACAAGATCTCACTGCAACATTTGGCTGGGAACAATCTGATCATCCCCCATACAGCCCAGACTTAGCGTCAAGTGATTTTCGTGTGTTCCTGCATCTGAAAAGTTACCTTGGTGGCCGGAAGTTCCACAATGGCAAGGTCAAAGAAGCCGTTAACACAGGGTTTGCATTGCAGGCAGCATCATTCTACAATGCAGGGATACAAAAACTGGTGCAAATGACAAATGCCTCAACAATGATGGAAACTATGTCAAAAGGTAGTGCACGGTATGTACATCAAATGGCAATATAAATGGTTTGGAAAGTAATTCTTGTTTTTTTTCAATAGCCCAACAGAACTTGCTTTCTGGATAACCTACGTATTTCACAAAAGCTGGATGTCTCATCAGTAGTTACTATTACATTGAAATCCACATTGATGATTCTGTAACAATTCTATCTACATATGGAGCTTACCATGTCAGGATAAAATTCTTTATAAAGTTGATAAGAGTAATATATCTCTTGGATTTGTAACATAAAATATACTATATTAATATAATAATATTTTAAAACTCAGTTTACAGACACCAAAATAATTTTAAAAGGCTATCCATTCCATACAAATATGGTTGTGTGTATACTAGGGTGACCAACTCTCCCGTATTAGAGCTAATCTTTTTGGATCCTCCCCGCTCCCGTATTGACCTTCTATTTCTCCCGTATATTTCATTAACAATCAAGGTCGCAAAATTTAAATTATATATTATTCCCGCCAAATACATTCCGATATAAACTGTCATTATTATCGACAGTTTAGACTTAGAGGTACTCATCGATAAATATCGAAAAATTACCTATAATAATCGATAGAAAGTTTAGCATATGCTAATCGATAGTGGAAAATCCACCCCTGCAGAAATGTGCTAGAGATGATTTTGTTAATTTCTACTGTTGCTTGCACAAGTACATTTCTAAGAATTTTGAGTTATCAAATGCAAATCCTGTCCATTGTCTTTTGCCATTAAATTTAAACACTGAACTTTCTTTCAGACATTTTCAAACCATTGTAAAAGAATTTAATCTTGATTATGTAAATGAGGACAGCCTGTATGAAGGGTTTTCTAGTGCAAAAAGTGTTCTTAATGTGGTAAAAACAGGATGTATAGAACAAAGTTGGGTTAATATTTTCAGTGATTTAAGAAACAAACAAATTGATGTGCCAAACCTTATTAAGATCTTAGGCTTTGTTTTAAGCATCCCAGGCTCAAATGCCCATACTGAAAGAATTTTTTCACTGATGAGCAATAAATGGACTGATTAGAGAACTCAAAGTAGCTTAGAACTAATTAAGTCAGAGCTAATGTTAGCAATTAATTATGACTATAGTTGTAAAGAGTTTTTTAAATTTGCACAAGAAGATAAAAAAATGCTTAGTTCTGCAGCATCAGTGGACAACTACATATAGGTTAGGACTAAGAAACATGCAAATTTGTAAAATTTATTCTATATTGTGACCTGTATATTATATACAATGTAAATTAATTGTTCTGTTTAATATTATCCATTCCATGAACGTTTTCTGGACCGATGCCGCGCCGCTAAAAATGCACAAAATTTGGCCTGACTAAATCTCCCTTAAATTCATGACCGAAAGTTGGTCACCCTAGTGTATACTGACATGAGAGCTGAAAGTCAGGGCAGAGAAGGAACATCAGCTCAACCACCCAAGGGACATGCATGGGATGATGACTGGAGATTGCTGATCACGGAAGCATGACAAGGGAAGTGCACCTTCAAGAGGACCATGGCTATTGAGTTGAGCAGCCCTGTGGAGCAAGTAGTGGGACAGCTGTACCTCAAGGCCCAACCAATGAGGAGGGAAGGTTGGATGCCACAGAAACAGAAGTAGCATCAACGTCAACACGATATCAAAGTGCCATTCATGATGCCCATCACAAACATCATGAGCACAAATCGGAAAAGAAGTGGTGACATGCCTGTAGGCCACTTTGGATGAGCAACCTTAAGGATGGAACAATGTGACATGAGGGCTGAAAACCAGAAGAATGGAGCAGGGAGAGAAGAGTCATTGTTATGCAACAGCTCGGTAGACATGCTCCCATGATAATGGATACACACACACACAACACTGGAAGAACTGTTGGAAGAGGTGTTTTCTATGCGGCCCATGCCAAGGCGATGTATAAAGATCCAAATTAACACTCAACAAACCCAAGGGATAAATGACAGGTTCAGAAGGCTTCCAAAGCCATCAAACAGTAAAATATGGCCATGAGCCCTGTGGGACTCAAAACCAAGAATCACTGCATTGATGGGGGCCAACAGCAATTTTCTACTGATGTTTGTGTGTTTTTCTATTAATGTTGTGTGCTGTGTTTTGTTTGAACATGTTTATGTGTGTTATTTATCTGTTGTCTTATTGTAGTACCACTGCCACTGGGTGAAAACCCATTTGCAGTTAAATAATAATAAAAACAATAACAATAATTATAATAATAATAATAAACCCACAACTGTCTGACAGTAATAAAAATCGGATCTTGGGTATCAGATGGGTACTTAACACTGAGACAGGCTGGCCGACTGACAATCAGTGTTAACATAACTTTGACTCTGAAGTGGCACTGGACAAGGAGATGCTACACACAGGAAGTATAAGAGGCTTAAGTTTGGTGGCAGTCAGGCCTACAGTAATTCAGCTGACTAAAGGCAGTTTCAGAGTAGTTACATAAGTTAAGGCATAACCTGCTGCACAAGCCTGCATTAACAGGAGACCTCTATATACCTTGTACAAATGTTGCTTAGCATAATGCAGTGACAAAGGGTGCACAGCATTCACAGTGACCTGGATGCCATGACAGCACGGATATACTCATGCTGAAACTTTGGTGCAACACAGTGCCTACACAGAAAGACCAGGCCCCTCCTTCATTGAAGAGGAGGCCCAATTTCAAAACACGTATGTATCAAGGACAGAAACCTTGGTCATGGATCTTGAAGGTACTGAAGCCAGAAATGACTCTGCTGGTGAAGATGAGCTGTGATTCAACTGACCGACTGACTGACCAAGGATATGAATATGGAAACTGAGGAATCTATGTTGTTTGGAGCAGTAAGCAATCAATGGCTAGTGAAGACAAACTAAGAAGATTTAGCATGTGTTGTAGTTATTCACATAGTGTGTGAAATAATGAGACATATTTACAAGTTCCAAGTGTTCAATAAATCCATCTGCCAATACAAACCCCATGTCTAGTCACTAACATGTGAGAGTATGACAATGTATAACAATAATGATGAGCATTTTAAAGGATTTCCACTTCAGTGATTCTTCTTCAATCCTTTCAGGTCCAGTTTGAACATCTTAAAGTTTACAACATTAAATTCAATCTGTTTCTGGTGATATGTCATACAAGTATGTTCTAAAAATGAACACCAAAGGGGACTGCAACTTTACTGAGAACAACAGCTTCTTCCATGGAGGCAGAATATGATCTGCTAATACCAAGGCCCAGCACTGGATATGTTCTATCCACCTCCAATCCTCAGGGTCTATCTTCTTAAGATACATCTTATACATCTTTATGTTATGCTTTTATCTCTTCCTTGGACTTGCAAGCATACATTTTCCCAAAGGTCCCCAACAAAATTCTGTATGCATTCCTTGTCTCCTCCATCCTAGCTAAGTTCCTCATTCTGTAGCATTCCAAACTTCCTTTATATTTCTCAGGATCAATAGTTCTGAAATTCATACAAACAGCCACTCACAGTGGCCAGGCGATCTAAGGCAAGAACTGTTTCACCTGCTAAAACATTGGGATCAAGGGTTCAAAGACCACTTGAGGCATGGTTGTCTGTGTGTGATTATTCTGTGTTTATGTCATCTTGTGTGTGCAGGTAGCAGCCTTGCAATGGGCTGATCCCNATATACGACTCACGGAGAGACATTGCTCTTGTATTCCCCCCATGGGGAAGAAGGCAAGGCCGCACAGAAGATGTTTGGTTTACGGAAAAAAGAGCCAAATGAGAGATACGCATTACAGGTGTGGTGAATGTGAGACAGCGCTGTGTATAGTAGAATGCTTCAATGCATACCACACTCCGCTCAAATTCTGAACCACCTGCTTCCTTTGCCGAGATACAGGGCGCTCATATTATAAGGTAGGTTATAAAACCACCTTTTAAGATCATTTTAGTGAAAGTTTCATGTTCCTATCTCATATAATTTAAGAACAATGATGAATAAATCATTTTTGAGCAAAATTTAAATGGCCGGCTGAATATATTACCGCCGGAGAGGCGGCCGCGGAATTCAAATCACCGCGCGAAAGGGTTAAAGGAGTCCTACCAACTGTGTAAAAGATCAAGAAACTGAAAAGCTGCCAAGGTCCAACAAAGGGGCTGTAGAGCCATAGACAGGTAGACAGATATAGACAGACATCTCAAACCGGTCCTATTGAGGTTGCTTATGTCAAATATGGCTCTCATGTTAAAGAAACTAATATATATGGTCCAATGATGTTTACTGTATTGCTATTGGGGTGGGACTAAGTCCCAGCCACTTCTGGCTCCAGATGATAGGTGAGGGTGATTGTGGAGCAATTGGTGGAATGAAAATTAGCAGGGGAAACCGAAGTACTCAGAGAAAACCTGCCCCAGCGCGACTTTGTCCACAACAAATCCCACTTGACCAGACCCGGGATCGAACCTGTGCCACCGCGGCGGGAAGCCAGCGACTAACCGCTTGAGCTATGGCATGGCCCACATTTACTGTAACAGCATTTCTCCATGTACTGCCTTTGGCAAGGGGGGGCTAGGAAGCTAGCGGATTCTCCTCATTCACTGCCTCGTCGGCTTGGAGTTCGCCATGCGCCTTGGGGTGTTTGGACCTTGTGGAGGGCCATGGGGATAGGGAGGCGTCCATAGGACAGGGTTCACTGATGTGACACCACTTTCCGACTACTTTCTATTCTTCCCACTGTCATTATATACATATACATATATATATATATATACATTACACTCTCACTCTGGTTGGTAACCATAAATTACACATGTAAGTAAATGAATAAACACTAGGATCCAACATCTTTAACCTTTCTCACCCGACTGCAGGCTCCTGTACCTGGCATTCGCAGGTTATTTCTCCTACATCCTACTCCTGCCCTACATTCCTGGTTCTAGCCTTGGGTGTTCGCACTTGAATAATATCACCTTAAGTTCCATGGCTATAATTGGTAGGTCCACTTACTTGAGTTCAGAATGCAGAAGATTGGTCCCAGCCAACACACTTTCAACGCCATTTTGGCAATAGCCTCTGGCAGCACTCTACTCAAATTATTGATCAAAAGATTTTTGCTATAGTTTCTCCTAGCCATTTTATAGTCTTTTCCCTGCTAACTCATCAGCTTCCGTGGGTTCGCTCCTCCCTGCCTGATGTAATTGTCTCTCAGGGTGGCGATCTTCTATTGGCTGGTTGCTGGAAGGGGGTTGCGTCTCCCAGTTTACCCGCCTTCCTCGATTCAGCAACTTACTAGCTAACTCTCCTTTCTGCGTGGCCATTTCTGCGTTAGTCAGCAGTGTGGCGCAACGCGGCAAATTCCTACGTTTATTGAACCTTTCTTACCCAGGTTTTAAAAACTTCCCTAGTTCAATTCCCTAAACCTGTTAACCCTAAAGAAAACATAGTAACTTTAAAATTAAAATTTATTGCCGTAACCATGCGGCATAACACTCCATACAAATTTTTCATAAAATACAATTAAATGGAAAAAGCTTGTGAGAGCTCAATATTAGCCAGCACAGCACCTGACTACAGATATAAAAATTGGGACTTGATCCCTGAAGATTTTCTCTTCACTCCCAAGGCCAGATAGCTCTGAGGCTCACACAGCACCTATCCAAGGGTACTCAGATAATGCAACAGGAAAGTAAAGCTGACTACTCAGTTTCATCAAGTGCTGAGGTTAAGATNCTGAAGATTTTCTCTTCACTCCCAAGGCCAGATAGCTCTGAGGCTCGCACAGCACCTATCCAAGGGTACTCAGAGTAATGCAACAGGAAAGGAAAGCTGACTACTCAGTTTCATCAAGTACTGAGGTCAAGAATATGTGGAGCTATACTGCTACTCCTCCATATATTTTCATGGTGTCATAATTCATTAAGCACTATGAAAACATTATACAATTAAATGGATTCAAACTGATGGACAGTAAACGACTGTCTCACAGGAAACCAAGGTACATTACTCCACTGTGCCCTGATGCCAAATGTGGCTTCCAGGTACATCAAAGAGCTAAATCCTTATAATATGACAAACTAATTGGCCTTTTTCACACAGTCTGAAATCTGTGGCCATTTAAGAATTACTGTTAGAACATTCAAGATATAAATTAAAAGAAAACATATTGGGTTAAGCTTACCTTCTCCATTTCACCCTTAAATCCTCCAAATACCTCATTACTCTTGATCAATGCATTTTGAAATTCATCGTACTTGTCTGTATAAAGGCTGATCTGACTTCTTAAATTCACTTCTGTTGTACGGAGCTCCTGACATTTTGCTTGATATTCAGTCAAATCCTGAAAATCAAAAGCAGTAAACAAACCAGCTTCATCTGTATCACTGTCATTTTCTCTTAGCCTGAGAAATCTTTTGAAAACAGAGTGCTCAGGAAAATATATGGACCTAAGAGGGATGAAATAAGCAGTTCAGGGACTCCATGACATGGCACTGTCATTTGGGGAGACAGGAAATGCATACAGAATCATGGAAGGAAGATCTCATGAAAATTTCATACTTGAAAAATTTAGTAGAAATAGGAGGATAACATGAAGTGTTACTTTAAACAGATAGATTATAAGGAAGGGAAGTGGATGGAACTACCTGCAGATCACATCCAACACTCGGCCACAGTATTAGTGGTGCTGAATCATCAGTTCCTAATGCCAAAGAGTTAAATTATTTGTAGTACCAATTTAATATCCCTCAATTTAAGGTTCTTCCTCATTTAAAGTTTGATTTCAGTATCAAAAGACAATAAAATTCATTGTCTAATCACCTTATTAAAGATTTTTTCAGTTCAGTTTCCAAATCCACAACTACCCATAGGAACAATAAATGGGAAATCCATAGTACTATATGAAAGATTTACTGTTACATAACACCTTTCAATCATATGAAAAACAGATGCAATTAACATAAATTTCTGCTACCTTCTATATTAGTACTCGCAGTAAATAGAAAACTCCATCACCACCATCATCATCATCATCGTGCATGGAGCAACACAATTAAAAGACCATTAGGCATGCATTAGAATGACTTCTTCAGCCTGTGACAAAGACTCTGAAAAATTTAAAGACTTCAGACAACAACAAGTTTTCTCTACTATTCCATTTTTTCAGTGTAATTACAATTCCACTTTCTCAAAATTCAGCAAAGACTACTATTTATTCATTTTGGTCAGATACATCACAGTGAGATTTATAAATTATTGTGTATTTAAAATATTCTATAGCCATGTCCTTTAACCATGCACACAAAGAGATTTTGTTGGAAACTTGATTCATGCTAGCACAGTCAACCATGATTCTAATGGGCTAGGTAGCATACATGCTACTGTGCAAAGCAAAACCATTTATATGAAAATTCCTGAATATTAAGGGTGAAAAAAATCAATGTCTGAATCAAGATCAAGATTTATTCTTTATTTCCTTTTAAAAATTAGAGACTCACACATGCCTAGACATTATTAATCTACTGTATCCTCACAGGCAGTCAATGACCACAAGCCGCCAACTTTTGCCTTTTGACAAATTCTTAAACTATGGCATTTAAACTTCTCGCTGTAAGCGAAGAAAGATATGCAAATAATCCATGTTGTAACTGTAATCATTCTAGCATCACCTTGAATAATTAAAATTCTTAAGTACTGTCACATATCCTGGTAATGGGACAAGAAATTAACGGGTTCTGGATTAGATGAAGCGATTTACTGGATAAGCTGTTTACACTTACAATTGCAATTACTCAAGAATAATGTCTTCCACACACTTAACCTGACTAATCTGTTGTTTCTCAAATTTTGTCTTCACTTTGGGATTCTGTATTCAACTGCTATTCTCGCTTCCACTGCTGTTCTTGTTGCCATGTCTTAGTTCCTATCTCTGCTGGTTTCTTCTGCTCTCAGCTCTGCTCTGTTCACCTCTGTTTTGTTGTCCACTCTGTTCTGGTCTGTTATCTATGACAGTCAGACATTCTAGGAGACAACTTATTCAAGGGTTCCATTTTGCGTGATTGATGCACTAGTAGGTAGTGTATTCTTTACCGCAGGAACTGCACTAGTTCATTTTTAATTTCCATGGTAACAGTCCATTATGTATGCATTGTCATGTGAACATGTCTGTCACCCAGATAACGATGCTGAACCATGACTACCGAGCTGTTGTCTAGAAATGGACACACACTCTGACTCAGATATTCCGGCTTTTGGGAGGCACACCACAGTAATTGTATGTTAACATAACTGTAAGACTTAACAGGCATATGAAAGTCCCTATCCAGAACTTTCTCATGTTCAGCTAAGTCAGTGACTACAGCAGTACAAGTGTTCCAGGAGGAGGCAGTACCATTATGTGTACCCACCCCAATGCTGGGCGGGTGTGTCTGTACAAGCTTTCAGAACTTTTTAGAAATATTCCAATTGTAGAAGCCTGGTAAATAATGAAGAGAAAGGTCTGAACGTGAGCAGCCACATTCTAAATTGTAAGTCTTTTTGTTAGAACAAAGTTCCTTGTAAAGAAGTTGCCATTTATCCTTGGCAGTCCCAAAAAGCTGAAATGTTTAACTGACTGGTAATGTCAGCTATGGTAACCTTGAAGGCACAGCTACTGGGTAGAGATGTGAGGCTCAAGAAGGCAGTCAGTAAGCAGAGTTCAGAGGAGACAGTTGGGAAGGCAGTTAGTCTACAAGATGGACCTGGGTCTGGGAAAGGCTACAGTCTGAATATTTTTGGAACACAAATAATAAACTTTTGAGTGTTAAAGAAATGTGTAACTTTAGGAATGATCTATTTGTAACAAAGTGTATTCAAGTGTATGCTTTCAGTAATTAAATAAAAACTGTGAGCATGAATCTTACATACCAGAGTCTCATTAAGCCATTATCTGCAAAGTGATATGGTGAATTCATAGCAACTTTGTCCACATCCTAACTAATTATCACAGAAATTCTGCTATTTCTTACAATCACCATCAATGAACAAACCTTTCCATGTACCAGAGATTTCCTGTTTTGGTTTCCAAAATATGTGAAGTACTTATCCCTGACATCCAAGAGCTCATAACCATGTCCGGTCTGAGAGAGTGACAATCAATTTATCCTCACTACACCATCAGAACCCATCTAAACCCCTGGGAAGGAGACAATTGTCAGCATCCATCAAGACAGCACTGCCAGTGATGGTGGCAATGAATAGAAGACAGTTCTAGAATCACCTAAGTGCCAGATCTATACACCAGTAACTTATTACTGCAGGGTTCTTCTTAAACAGCAAATCTGCTCAGTTACTGTAGTTATTAAGATAGTCAAGAATATATAACTTTCATAGAACATGGAAAGTTTGTTATACTGTAACAGATTTGATCAAGACATTGTCAGGCCACAGCTCTGATAAAAGGTTCCAACAAGCAACAATAGGACGATATCATCTATAGGCCATGCCCAAAATATGTGCACACAATAGAGGAAGCTGTGTTTTCTGTAGATCCAACTGATGTGCCAATAGACTGGCTGGATAGCGATCACATGATATGTGTTTAGCATAGGTCTACATCCGTTCTGCAGCTACATAAGTGACAAAATTTGTTCAGGGCAGTTACAAGCCAGTTGTAAAATGGAGAAGTGAGCCCAGAAGAATTGTTTAGTTCCAAGGTGTCAGAGAAGCTAAAGATGAAACAGCAAGAACATTTCATAGTGATTTGAAGTGCTAGTCTCTGTGTTGAGACACGTTGCTAGGAGGCGAATAGTGGAAACTGAGAGTCCTAGTGCGTGTGTAACAGTGAACTGTAAATTGTGTTAAATCAGTGATAGCACTTTATTAATTGTAATTAAGAGAGTGTAAGTGAAGTGCTAATAAATCCAATTATCCGAACTAGAACCCTACACAGGACAATATATTCACAAAATTTCACCATCTGATGCTACCCTAAGCCAATTTAATTCAGCCTGTCCCTTTATATCCCATTCCTTTAAGATACAGTCTAATATTAACCTCCCACTTGGCCGCACCATAGCTCAAGCGGTTAGTCACTGGCTTACCACTGAGGCGGCCCGGGTTCAATACCCGGACTGGTCAAGTGGGATTTGTGGTGGACAAATTGGCGCTGTGGCGGGTATTCTCCGAGTAATTCAGTTTCCCCTGCCAATCTTCATTCCACCAAATTCTTCATCATAATCACCCACCGTGCCGAGTGAACCCAGTTGGACTCCACCCCCACTAAGCGAATTTTTAACCTCCCACTTACATAGTCTCTGAAGTGTTCTCATAGTATGCAGTTCAATGATCAAAATTTGTTATGCATTTCTCATTTTCCCATAACCATAGCAGAGTTCCTCTTAAGAAGTTAACAGTTTCTTGTCTAGTCAAGAAATTTCCTACCTTTTATGTAACACAAAGTTTCATCATCATGTTCACAAGAATCTGCCACATGAACCTTATCATCATCCTCATACCTTACAACCCTGAAATCCATTTTAATATTATCCTTCCACCTGTGTCAAGATCTACCAAGTAATGCTTCCCTTCAGGTTTTTCAACTAAAATTCTGAATGCATTTCCCACCATCTATCCTATACTCATCCTCCCAGACTTTATTACCCTTATAATATTGCGTGAAGTGTAAAATTATGACTATTGTCAAAATTAATCTTTTCAGCTTCCTGTTACTTCCTCTCTCTTAGGCCAAAATATTCTCCTCAGTGCTTTGTTCTCAAACACCCTCAGTCTATGTATGCTCTTCCCTCAGGGTGAGAGACCAAATCTCTCACTCATACAGAGTAAAAAGTAAATTCACATGCCACATGTGTATTTTTCTTTCACCCAGTACTTTCCCCTACAAATACAAACTTTCTTTATACAATTGAATCTCTCATAGCAAAACAAATGCTCTTATTACACACTCATGCACATATGATATGGCAGTGGTAAATAAACTGTACAAACCAAACAAAGGGTCATAATAATTTTGTACTTTGAAAGTTTACGCAGATATAGTGACATGACATCACTTGGCAGACTGAGTGCTGTATTAATAAGAATGAAGGTACAAAGAACTTTGGACTCTAGTGAATTTTAATGAATTTCATTAGGTAACAGAGTGTCTCTGCAATGACATACAGTTACACTTCACATACAGGTCAGAGTGGGGCTTCTCAGTTGAGACTGTTGGCAACTGTGTTCACCATTATTACCATTACCTCTGGTAAGTGAGCCAAACAGCATAAGCCATGAATTAATTGTACTGACAGAAAATTATCTGAATGACAGCATTCAGATAAGTACACTAGGTGATGTCTTTAATACTTATTTATACAAATACATAAATATTGTAAACTGAAGGCAGTGAACTGAACTGCTGATAATCTTATTGTCCACTGAAGGGATGATCCCTTGGTCCAAACTTTTCCCATATATTCAGAGAGGAGGAGGGGTCTTAGTAAGGTTATAAGAACCAATGATACAGTTCCTTTTAATAAATATACCTAATTAGTAGTTCAAAATATGTGGGAGATGAGAGCAGCACATGTTATTACAGGGGTGGACCTGACAAGATGAGGCCAAGAGTAGGATTAACCTGGGGGAAAGCCTGTCCAGGTCACTGATGTCATCTTCAGGGGTGTGCAGCAATAGAAATGCCAACCACACAGCAGGAAGAGGTCATTAGCGACTGAACCAGACGCAGGATTGTGGCACATCAGGGGTGTTGTGTAGAACTACTTGACCATCAGTTGCAGTGTAACAGAAGAGTACAGTGGGTTAATCTGCAACTTCTTTCAACTTTTCTCTTCAGTTAAAATCCTAAAATTATTTATCAGGGATCCTGGAGTAAAAAATTAATTCTCATTCAGAAGATTCTAAATCTTATCCCTTGTTAGCTTTCTGTGCTGATTCCTCTTCTCACAGAATGAAACCTTCACCTCTCAGGAGTTGTGAATACTAGACACCTCCTGTGGTTCAGAGCACATGTTACATTACAGGTTCCTTCTGCTGAGCACTGCATTCTTCATTCCATCATAACAGAATCCACCGTGTGCCCCTGTCCATTGGCCAAAGGGCAGAACAATAAATAACACACACATGGATGTTTCAACGTATATCCAGCCCTACAGGGTGATGATTGGATCCATGAAGGGAAAATAAATGTAATGTAAATGTAAATGTAAATCTATTACCATGAGCAGCTGCTGTTTCTCCTTCAGAAGCACCTCCTTTTCTGCAGCCATCTCCATTTTGGCTTTTGCCAATTTGGCATCAGCCAGCTGGGCTTCCAGTTGCATTTGTTTTGTGATCTTGTCTACTTGCTGAAAAATAATTTCAGTCACCACCATCAACCAGATGAACAACTGAAGATAGAAGTCTTCTGGGACATGATGCTGTGTAGTTTGGTATAGGGAAACCCCCATTTCAGCTTCCTCTAGGGAGGAACACTAAACACTAAACACAAACAGGAGGAAGATTTTATAAGGAGGAAATTTATCATAAGGATTATTGATTTCAGATCAATAAAACTGAATGTTAAGTGAAGGAACATTTTAAACCAAGGATCATCAAATTTGTGTTCCACTGTAGACAGCTACCAATGTTTCAGAGGACCCTGCTGCTTTCAGAACCTGCTCCCTCCATTCTGTGGGTAGATGCATCTTTTGCGGCAGCAAATTTCTCTGAAATGCAGATACTTCATCCAAACTACACAGCAGCATATCTCTGAAGACTGTAATCTTGATACTCAATCCCATAAAAACCTCAGATCACACAGTGATCAATTCTAATGATATCTATACAAATAAAAATGTAAATGTTGGTTTGTTAATCCTCGAAGATCTCCGAAAGTTCTTCACCAATTGCTTCGAAATTTTGATACAACATTGCATTCGAACACACGCGTTTTTATATGCCTACTATATACATGACACACCTGTGACAGGTTGGTTGGTTGGTTGTTAAGTATTAATTGTACTCAATATTTATATACTGTAACGTGTTATATGTCGTCCATCGAATAAAAACAGATCGTTGCCTAGGAATAACTGTGGCAACGAACTGTTGAAACGGCGGAAATAATGCATTTCTGCGGCAACGAACACAGAACACGTGAAATGGAACCCTGGGAGAAAGTGCCCTCTATTGCGTCCGAAACCGGGTTATAATAGTCCAGCTCTGAAGAGTTTTTCGGTGATACTGGACGTGATAATAATTGTACTCGCTGGTGTAAAAGTGAGCGTTCAATAACTTATTCGCTGAATCCGACACGTGCGTGGAAGTTATTTGCCGCACTGAATAGGAGACACGTGACCACAACAACGTTACATAGGTAACACGCGACATATTCTTATTATCAAAGTACATGTAAATAATGCAACAATTTAAAAGACATCAAGAATATGTCACTCACTAAAAATGTATTTTAATACTTTATGATGTTAAAATCATTAAAAATCTCTATCTATCTTCTATCTATTTATATAAATAAAAACATAAATGTTGGTTTGTTACCTTTCGAGGATCTCCGAAAGTTCTTCACTGATTGCATAGGAAAAGAGGTTCCGTTGCGCAACAATGGATGAAAACAGAAAGTATACTTCCATGGAAACGCAATAACAGTGGGCCGTTGCATAGGAATTGCCAAAACAACAAACGTGTTTCCCCAGAGATAAGAGTATAAGAGGTTCCGTTGTGTAACAACGGATGAAAAGAACACTTCTACAAGGTGTTCTGTGCTAGCATTTCCTATCCTGTCTGAATTAGCTCTGATACTGCACGTGGCAATTCTTGCAAAGGGTATAAGTGTAAAAGCAAAAAACAATAAATACTCGCGTGACGTGCCCAAACACGTTATATCTCATCATCATCATCATCATCAGTAATCTGTCAAGACGACAGGTCCACAGTCTCTTTCAAAACAATTCCTCCACTTAATGCGATCTAGAGCTTTCTCCTTCAAATGACAGTATCCTCTTCTGTCCCCAAGGTCATCCAGCATCTTCTTACGTCTTCTTCCTCGTCTTCTT